TAAACTCCCAAATCCTTCATTACACTGACTGACTCCAAGCTGACCTCATTTATTTTGTAATTAAAAATAACTGGATTTACTTTTTTTGTGTATCTGCCTATTTTACATTTCGAAATGTTTAAAGTTAATCTGTTTGTTTTACACCATTGACCTAAAATATTAAGATCATCTTGGAGATTGAGACAGTTATTTATAGTAATGACTTGAGAGAATATTTTGAGGTCATCAGCATATAAAAGCTTCAAAGAGTTTAGTCTTGGGGGCAAATCATTGATAAAGATCAAAAACAGCAAGGGACCTAAATTGGATCCTTGTGGAACGCCAGAACTGGACACAAAGTGTTGCGAATCAAAGTTATTATAAGAAACAAATTGTTTCCTGTCTATTAAATAGGACTGAAAGAGTTCCAAAAGAAAGCTATCTAAACCAAAGCTTCTTAGTTTCTGTAACAATATGTAGTGATCAATCTGATCAAATGCTTTCTGGTAGTCAGTGTATATAACGTCGAGTTGAGAACCTTTATCCATTGTTTCACAAGCATATTGTGTAAATGAAGCCAAGTTGGTTATCGTGGATTTTTTCTCAACAAACCCATGTTGAAAAGGAGAAATAAAAATTTTCAGTTGACAATATAGTTTGGAGTAAATTATCATTTCAAATATTTTAGCGAAGTTACAAAGTATAGAAATTGGTCGATAATTTGTTATACAAGATGGGTCTCCTTTTTTTAACACAGGTACAATTCTTGAAATTTTCCATATGTTCGGAAAGGTTTGACATTTAATTATTTTGTTAAAGATTAGTAAAAGAGGTGAAACAAAGGCACCACAGCAATCTTTTACAAGAAAGCTGGGTATGTTATCTACCCCAGCAGTCATTTTGTTATTAAGTCTCTTAACACAACCAATTATATCACTTTCATTTATGCAATCCAATGTAACGTGGCTAAAACATAAATCTGAATTCACATTAGCCAAAGGAATTGATTCTATGTATACACTTTTAAAAAAGTCGGCAAAGCCATTTACTATATCATTAGGAGTTTGAAAATCTTTATCATTGTAGCTTACCCTTCCCGGAATACGCGAAAATCCTTTTTTTGATTTAATATAATATTATGACCAAAATGATTTCGGTTCATTTTTTAAATTTGATTCAATTTTATTTATATATTTCTTATAAGATGTTTTTATCTGTTTTTTTACTAATGTTCGCGTGTTTTTGTATAAGTCATTATACAAACCACCCAATTTTTTATTTTTCTTGTAGTATTGGTCTTTTTTTTTAATGTTTTTAATTATTTCGCTGGTAAACCAGGGAGGGTATGTACGCTTTATAGGTTTAATGGTTTTAATAGGAATACATGTATCAAATAATTCGTAAATAATTTTATAAAACTTATCACACATAACATTAACATCATCAATTTGTGACAAAAAAGACCAATATATTTCCAAAAACATACTATACAGTAATAGATAATCCGCTTTCTTAAAATTATAGGTTTTTTTCTCTATATTAATATTAAAATTTATAGGTACAGCTAGCTTAACACATATATTTAAAGGAGGATGGTAAACATCAATATTAGTAAGTGGGCTTTCATTTAGAGAAATTATACACTGCATATTCGAAAAAACCAGATCCAAAAGTTTATGATAGCTATTTTTAATTGTGTTGAACTGAGAAAAGTTTAATAATTCACTAAGTGTGGTTAAAGAAAAATATTTTGGATCAGTATTATCCATATTTATGAAATTAGAGACGTTGAAATCACCTAGAATAACAACATTTTCAGTTTGTATACACTCTAAATCAGATAAGAGTTCAAAAAAAGTTTTTAAATCATTAACCATAATCTTTGGTGGAATATATATAACAATTAATGTTAATACTAAATTAGACAAGTACAGCTTACAACCTACGATATCTATACATGAAATAGTGTTTATTACACTGCTAAAGTCTAGTTCTTTTATTTGAAAATGATTGTTCACTGCAATTAATACGCCACCACCTCTAAAACCATTTGACACACTAAATCTTCTATCACAACGTAACACACTGTATAAATCAAAAAACAATTCAGCATTATCAACGTTTTCAGTTAGCCATGTTTCTGTTAAGCAAATAATTTCGTAATCACAGTCACTCACTGCAACTGAGAAATCCAAATTTTTGTATTTAATCCTCTAACGTTTTGATAGTATATATTTATATCTTGTAATGAAGTTGGTGATAAAAAGTTGGGCATTAATTGTTTAAATTATCTTTGACAATCGTTGGAACATCGTTTATATATTTTATTGTAACACTTTCTCCCTTTTCTTTTCTTTCATCTAGATGGCTCTTTTTTAATTAACCTATAAAAGTTATTTTGTTTTTTCGTTTTGTCTCTTGAGATAGAGATATTACGAAAGTTCGAACTATATTTTAATTTATATGCATTTTTTAAAATTACAAAAACGTCAGCCTCTCTGGAAAAACAAAGTTTAAGAGGGCGAGTTTTGTTTGTAACATATTTACCCAGACGAAATGGTTGATCCTCAATTCTGGTTTCAGAAGATATATGGGATATGAGATCTACAGCAGTTTGCTTATCTTGAGCTAAGCGTTCGGTATTATTGTTGCCAACAGGTTCTGGAACATTGAACAATATTATATTTTTCCTCTTTTTTTCGCGTGCCGAAATTTCTGCAATGATGTCTTCAACAAGTGTTTCTGGTAATACTTCAGTAGATTTAGTTGAGCTTTGAGCTTTTAGTTCCTTAACTTCCTCCTGAAGAGCTATTATTGCAGCTTTCAATGAATTCAAATCGTTGCCCATCTCTTCACAGTTTGAACATGTCCAACTTATATAGGTATATATTGATTTTAAGGTTATGTTTGGGCAAAAATTATTTTTACTAATGTAAACTTAAAAATAATTTATATTAGGTAAAGTTATCATTAGTTAATTCTGCCGAATTGGATCCTTTGGCAAAACATACAAATGCAACGATTTAGTTCTTGAATTTTATTTCCAATTAAAAACACAATAATTCACCATGAACAAAATTTGTCGAGTAAGACTTCTGCCTTCCTCTCTTTTGTAAAAAAAACTACCCATTTATTTAAAAATGATGTATAATCTGTGCATTAAATGTTGACAATTCTTAAATTCACTCAATGCATTCGAAGTCCACCAGATGGCGCGCGCGTTGCGAAAACCCGATACTTCTTTAGCCTATGATGGCAGCCCTGATAGAATAAGGTTTATTTTTTTACAAAAGATTAGTAAAATGGTTGTTCTTAGCACTTTAAGGCCTCTTATACTAAAAGACTTTTAGGGCTTACAAGTGCCTCTGTATAAACAGAGCACAAGAATTGTAAACAACAAAAATGGCCGCCGTGCAGTGTTGCAGTGATTTTTAGTATGCGCGAAACGAGATAGAACATTGTATGTTCAACATACCTTGTTGTGTGGATTGTGCACCAAGTGAACCCTCGCTTGGACGGTTTTTAGGTTATGTTATTATAACAAAGTATGTATGTCCCGCCGGTTATTTTGTGATTGTGAGGCGCCTCTAGCGGTAACTTATTACTCATAATAATAATAATAATAATAATAATAATAATAATAATAATAATAATAAAATATTTATTGGTCTAAAGATCATATATAATGATATAAGACAAGTCAATACAAAATTAAAAAAAGTAGGTACTTTCACTTTCCAACAATATCTAAAAATAAAAAAAAGAAAGAAAACTATAGTAATTCGATGCCTCTCACATTAGCCATTTAAGAATTCATTCACTGAATTATAATCTTTCTCAAGCAAACATAATTTTTAATTGGACTTAAATGAATTTAAAGATTGCATTTTTAGGCTGTTTTCCCATTTATTGTATAATAATGCACCAATGAATAAATGATTCGACTTAAATACTTAGTTCCAATCGATGCAAACTTAATTCTAAGTTAAAACCATGCCTTGTGTTGTACGTGTGAAGTTCATTCAAATAAGAAAAATTAGACAGATTATGTTGTTTTACATACATTAGTGTTTCCAAAATGAATTACCATGAAACAGTTAGTATTTTTTTAGAAATAAACAAAGGCTTGCATGATGGCTAGAATCTTAATCCATAAATAAATCTAATGGCCTTCTTTTGAATAACACGCTGCACGGAGGTGGAATAGCCCCAGCATATTCCATACCTATCTGGATTCAATGTTAGATAGAAAGCTCTTATATCTGAGGTGTTTGAGATGTGACCAAGTCGTTTTAAGACAAATAAATTAGGTGCTAAAGCACTACAAAGATGCTAAATGGGGCAATTCTACATAAATTCCCAAAAATTTGAACTCCGTTAAATGTTGAATTGTCTTTTCTGCTTTTTGTATCATTTAAAGGCAGTCGCAAAAAAATACATGCTGTTTGTTTTTTATAAATTTATTACAAGTGTATTGTTTAAAAAGTAATTTGACAATTTTTCAAGTCTCTGATTTACTTTTGAAACTATTCTAAATTGATCTTTAATTACTATAGTATAGGGTATACCCTGCGGAACACCAATGTTAGATCTTAATTCAAAGGAGCGGAGTTATAATATACTACGTAATGTCTTTTATTATGTAGAAAGCTTCCTATTAAGTTATGGCATTGACCCATATACCATACGATTCAAGTTTACTTAACATAATCTCATGATATACGCAGTAAAACGCCTTTGACAAATCAACGAACAAGGCCATGATGACCTTATGATTTTTATCAAAATGTCATAATACGTTTAAAAAGAATTTTTTCAATAATTTTGAGAAAAACGGAAATTAACGATATGGGTCGATAGTTTTCAATACTTCTTTTGTCCCCTTTTTTGTGTAAACATATAATTTTTGAAATTTTTAAACTATCAGAAAACTCACCGTTGTTAAAATCAATTATAATTATAAGACTTTAACAGAACACTTACAGAATAGAAAGGTTGCTTAATAAAAAACAATTGAATATTGTGTTTAATTTGTAATACATTTTTGTGTTAAAAAAAATACTTTGGAGGTTAGTACTTAAAAATATTTCAAGTTCTCATGGTATAAATCCTACCATCATAACAGTAAAAACGATAACATATGAAATAAAAATAAGCCTGTCCAAAATTTTGGCAAATACCCTCCAATCCTGAGACCCTGTATTTACGGAATTTTCTGAATTATCTATTATAGTTGAACCGTCATCTTCACCTTTAGCAAAGGCTACACCCTAAAATAAAAATCGTTTAGGAGTTGTCATAAAACATTATAAAGTGTGAAATTACTTTTAACGTTGTATCATCCAAAAATATAATTTGCCCTGGTCTACAGCCAATCACAAAAGAAACAATTCTTGATATCCAGGATGGTGGTGGTGTTTTTTTCAAAACTATATTCTTTAAAATTATTGTAAAAACGATTGAAAACCCACACAGAAGAAGTGAATCTCTTCCTAATACCACTACAAAAAAACAATTTAAATGATAAACATTTTAATATACGAGGTGTAATTTTGTCTTACTTAGTTGTGGTATTTTATTGCCCTTCATAGGTATCATAAAAGATATATATTCCAAGTGAAAAAATTCCGTTATTAAGTTAACACAGCATAAAACCATACGTTCGTTACTATCAGGAGGGACCCACATAGATGTTATGACCAACATAAAAATCACTGAAAAATAAATAAATTGGTGGATATTTCAAAAAGTGATTGAGTTAGAAACTTTAAATTCGGCATATGGCGAATTTAATTTTTTTTAACATTAAACAATATTATGTTCAAATTTAATAGTATATTCAATTATATAGTATATTATTATTAAGGCCCGGATTTTTAGGTCATAAAAAAGTGATAAAAGGTTCCTAAATTAGGTGATATTTTTAATAAAATAGGTTATTATTTTAGGTACCTATATTTTAGGTACTTAATATAAAAAGTTAATATTGGTTGGCCCGTATTTTTAGGTTATAAAAAAGTAAAAAAATGCAAAAAATAGGTCACATAGTTATAAAATTAGGTTAATATTTTAGGTGCCTACATTTTAGGTACTTAAATAAAAAAAATAAGCTGATTTATTGAAATAAAATGTTTTCATTATAATGTCGATATCGTTGTAAAACCATACATAGGTCTTATGTAGTTTTAGTTACATTATAATTGCTCTGTTAATGTCCGGCAATAAAGGATTTAAATTAAAAATGAAATAGTTATTAAAATAATATTTATTATTAACATAAACTGAACAAAAATGTTTGGTTGGAAAAATAACAAATAAAATAAAAGATTCCTTAAAAAAGTAAATATATCATATCACAAATAATGTAAAATAGCAAAAAAAACATAATAGGAACTCTAAAATTACAAAAAAAAACAAAATAGAAACTCTAAAATCAAAAAAAAAAAAATTGTATTAATTTATTTAACGATTATATGCATGACAGACAAAATATTTCTCCAAGTTTTCAGAAGTAAAGCTAGTGCGTTTATCAGTCAAAACATTTTTAAACCAAGAGAATGATCGTTTAACGTCACAGGACGGGTAAAAAAAGTTCATTTTAGGTATTAAAAATACAATTTAGGTGCAAAAAAGGAAAATAGGTGAAAAAAAATATAAAAAAGGTATTTTAGGTCAAATAAAACTTAGTCAGATGACTCCATTTTTTATAAAACGGGCAAATACAAAAAAATATCTTTAAAACCTAAAAAACCAACAAAAGGTGTTTTACCTAAAATCCGGGCCTTAATTATTATGTATCAAGTTTGATTATCGCCATTTTAGTCACAAATTTGAGTGTCTAGAAAAGTTTATAAACTAGTTGCATACTATACTTTTTCTATGACAAATACTTATTATTATCTAAAAATGATTTAAATTAAATATTTGTATAGAGCGACACCTATAAAACATTCTTGGAAATCAGTATTAACGGGCCAGTAAAAATTTCAAATTTTTATGTGTAAATCGAAACGTATCCCTTGAAAATGGACTAACAACAGTTTTTCACAGTGAAAGTGAAAAAATGTTTTAGGAGCACTCCACGGAGGAGTCTCCACCCAAAATTTAGTTTACTGCTGACGAAAAGGTCAGTATTCACTACTTTTGTATTTTTGTATTGAGATAACAAAATATTTTTTACATTTAGTAATATTTTACGAAAAGGGCACTTTATTTTAACGATTGTATGGCATTTGACTGTCAACCAACTTGAAACTAACTTCAGTCCGTGACTAAAAACCTGTTGTTAATTTCAGCCCGTGAGCCACAATTTGTCAATGTGCATTTAAAAGGTCACTTAGTTTCATGGAAATATGTACGATAATGGGCGTTTTAAAAGTGGGGGTAAAAAAGTATCTTACTCTTTAACTTTTTAAAAGTTTGATTTTAGACACGAATTTAATTTAGGCACGAGCGCTTAATTAAATGAGTGCCTAGAAGATAAACGAGTTGCATACTATACTTTTTCTACGAAAAATACCTATTATTTAAAAATGATTTAAATTAAATATTGGAATATAGCGAAATCTATAAAACAATAGAGTAACCAACTAGGGAATCTGTATTAATGGTGTAAAAATGTAGAAATTAAGTTAAATATAGTTTACTGGCAGCAAAATTAAAAGGTCAGTAGGTACAATGTTTATATAAATTTTACAAATAAAGGAGTTGAGAAACTATTTAATACTTTTATATTGAAATAATTAAATAATTTAGTATTATTTTGCAAGAAGGGCACTATTTTAACGATTCTATGACATTTGACAACTGTCAACTAACTAAAAGCCCGTGACTAAAAGGCCATAAAGCCACAATTCGTCAATGTGTATTTAAAAGGACAGTGTTATGGAAACATGAGCGGTAATTACCCATTAATGGGCGTTTTGAAGGTGGGAGTAGAAAAAATATATTTTAATAAGGACATCAAAATCATCCTCAAGTTAGGTAATTTTCATTCAAAGAACCTAAATTTTAAACACTGCTTTATTTTATTTATATTATGGAATATTCATCCAAAATCTCAAATCTCTAACTATGACACTTTTTGAGATATACTTACCTATAGATGGTATAAGAACAGTGGCAGAATGAGACCCATGCATTCTCTTTATTTCAAAGCTAACCTCGATCGAGGGGTACGTGCTATTTGGATGAAAATCGTAGTGACCTGGGTTCCTATGCACTCCCACTTTTTTCAAAGCCCACTCGCCATCCGTTTCCAAATCTTCAGTGTCTGCTATTGGGTTATGATGCAGAATGTTGACTTCTTCTCCTAGGAAAAAAATTGTTCTGTCAAATATTTGGTTGATATTTTTTATTGTAACTGGGTACCTTTGTGTACCCAGGATCCAAATGTTATGGTACAGTTTTGGCTATCAAAGGGATATTTTGACATATCCGCTTGACATAGTGCGTCTACGTGGTGTGGATGCACGCAAACTATAAGACCATTAAAATTGACGATACATTTAGTGGAAGCGAAAACTGTGGGTTCAGTTCCTTGGTCAAATCTGAAAGTATGTTAAAATTAATTTGTAAAATTATATTTTGTTATTGGTTTTGCACCTGTTATACACTGATAAATCGGGAACCCAAATATTATCAGTTGTCACTTTTATTTCCCTTAGATTACCAAAATCTTGCGGGTTCCATTTTAGATATTCATCATACCAATGCTAAAAATATTATTTTTTAATATTGGTTTATAATTTAATAGATTTTACTTACTATAGATAACCAACTGTCCAATCCTAAGGTACCAGATTGATGGTCCTAAGTTAATTAATAATGTTTTTAAAGTGAACAAAAACTTTTTAAAATTTTACTTACATATTTTATAAATTTTACAATCATATTAAACGAAACATTTACAGCTGTCTTATGGTCTTTCACAGGAATTATTGTAGAGTCATATCCACAATTAAAAAGTTGGTTTGTGAGCTTATGTCTCTCACTTTCCACTATCTGATGATCACAGTCTCCAAAAACTAAATTTTATTTATTAAATAAAAAATCCTTTATTGAATACTAATTCGACAAAAATGTTTTAATTACATATATTAAAATACTAGATGGATTAAATTTGCAATAAATTAAATGAAAATGTTATCCATGTAAGGTGATTAAATTTGGTTTTTACCTGTTTTTAAAATAGTTATTAACATGAAAAGGCACACTATGTATTTCATGTTTGTTATTGGAAGTTTCGTTTAATACTAACCATTAGTAATATTTGAACATGAATTGGTAATTTGATACATACTTTATCCGCCCCCTCTGCATGTTTTTATCTGAATGGGGCATCAACATTTTATTTGATATTATTTTCTAAATATTTCTATAATTTTTTTATCATACTTAAGTACTTTTAACTGAATCTTTTTGATGCCAAGTAGTAATAAAGTTTAATGTTAGGTATATATTTGTATGCTACAAGATATTTTACAGTTTATAAAACATGGATATACTTTCGAGCATACAAAACGTGAATCTTCTTGAGATAATTTTCAATAAAAAAACAATTTTTTTTTTATGAAAGTTAAGTTAGAGGGGGAATTAAAAAAAATACAACACATAATTAGTTCTATACATTTATTTATCTACGTCTACTAATAAATATCAATAAGTTATGCCAGTCTAATACAGTACGTATTACATAAATACACCATAATTTCTTAAAAATAACAATATAAAAATACTTTTAATAAAATACTGTACAAAATATATAACAAACTATATAAAATAAATCAAATAAACAAAATAGACATTATTATTTTTTCTCCAAATAAAAAAAAATAAAATAAATCTTTTAAGTACACAAAAATTAATTAATTTATTAAAAAGAAAGAAATATATACAGGGTGTCTCCCAAAATAAGAAAAAACAATCAAATTATTTTTGGTATTAGCTTTTATATAAGGCCTACTAACTACTAATACTACAATGTTCTATACTATACAGGGTGTTTAACAATACAGGAAACAACATTTTGTTTTGTGGATATTTCTTTAAAACTGCCTTAAAAAGTTGCCTGATTTGTAAAACACCCTGTTTGACATGTAATGTTAGCCTTAAATACATACATTAATTGAATAAAACACCTAATGGAAATATTTATCAAAAAAAAATCATACAGGTTTAATCCAATTAATTTGTTAATTAAGTTCTTAATTAAACAGTAAACTTTGAAAAAGTATAGAGTAAAGAGGGATAATAGTCCGCAGTTGCGTTTTTTCTACTGCGCTAAAGTTTCCATACATAAATTTTTGCTAAAAATGTTTTTAACAATTTTTAATCCAAAATATCGTCTAAGAAGTTAAATCCTCCGCAAACTTGTATTTCACAAATTAATATAATATAATATTTACAATAATTTTGAAAATTTAGGTGCGGATGTTAAATTTAACAAACTTTCTTTAAAACTGTCACCTTTTCATTGCACTATGCCGAAAAACTGTAATTTTGATCGACAGAACTATAGTTTACAATGTTGTGAAATTTTCCATTCAAACTGATTGTCATAAAACAAAATGACGACGAATTTGTGAAACAACAAAACAAACAGTTTTAAATTTAACAAGTTCTGTCAATGAACACCCCAAGTTGTTTAAAGTAGTTTTAAGCATAGTTAGAATGACAGTTTTAAACAAGTTTGTTAAATTTAATATTTTAAACATATACACTGTACAGGGTGTCTTAAAATCACCAATCACAAAAAAATGTTAAAGGAAATTTCGTCTTGGATTTTCGAAAGAAATCGTATGGTTCGGTTATTTTGAGACACCCTGAATATATTTTAGTAAAATGTTAGTTATTTCATTAGCGTCGAAAATTTCCTATACAATAGAAATTTTAGATAGTTTAGGAGGTTACAATCGACTAGGTTTATAAAGGAATATTAAGAATCGAAAGTTGAATGGCATTTTAAAAATAAAACAAAAAACGAAGGAAACTATAAAAAATTTTTTTTAAATATTAAAAGAAAACTATATATATATTATATATATGTATATATATATATATATTATAGTTTAAAAATTTATTAACTAAACAATATTGAGGAAAAAAACGTAAAATCATAAAATCTTCATAAAAATTAGAAAATTATCAAAAATTATATAAAATAGAAGAAAAGTTTTTTTTTTAATTAAAAATAAATTGCAAAGAAAAACAAAACAATTGTAAAATTGAATATAATAATTATTATTAATTGCACAAAAAAAAACAAAATTTTTAAAAAATCATAAAAAACAAAGTGAGTTAAAAAGAACTAAATTTTTTTAAAATATTGCAACAAAACCAAAAATAAAAAAAACATGACAAATTCAAAAAATTTTAAAATAAATAAAAAAAAAATTATAAACTACGAAATCAATGCCAACAAAACAATCCCAAAATTATTAAAAAATTAGTAAAAAACAAAAATCATTGCCTGAAATTGGAATTTTAGGTTGGTTAAGGAGAATTGATTATAAAAATAATGTAAAAATAGTTAAAAACACCTTGGCCACAGATTTTTTAAATTGGTTTTCCTAAAATAAGCCATTTTCCAAAAAAAAATACTTTTTCTACTCCCACATTTAAAACAAAAATTATCGTCTTTTTTATGCTAAGTGATTTTTAAATATACATTGATTAAGTCGTCTTAGGCTGAAGATAGCAACAATGGCTTTCGGGATTTTTACTCACGGGCTGAAGTTAGTTGCGGTTGTCAAATGTCATACAATCGTCAAAATAAAGCGACTAGAAAGTGAGGTTAAAAAACTGTCTGACATGTCAGATTTTATTTATTTTTGAAAATTATTTAATTTCTGTGTTCGTCGTAGAAAAAAAACTATCTAACTCGTTTTATAAACTTTTCTAGACGTTTATTGCTTGTGCCTAATTAAAAAATGTGACTAAAATTTTGTTTAACAAACTATAGTTTGATAAACAAAATTATAGTAACATGCACAGAAAAAAATTTATCATAGTACCAAGAACAGCGCTGTCGTTGAATGCATTAAAATTGAAGCAATCTAAATTGTTATTTGCTCAATTAATTACTATTAAACCAAAATAGGGAAATATTTTGCCTAAATATCAAAGAATTTATTGCGTTAAATGTATACATAGTATACATACAATAGTAACGTTATTAAATAAATCAAATTAGGATTTAATGCAATAACATTTTAACATTCTAACAAATAAATATCAATATGAATATCAATAGATTTAGGAGCGATAACTTTTGTTGTTATTTAAAAACAGTAAACGATTATAAACCAAGTGCTAATATGTACCTATTGGTATTATAGGAACTGTTATTCAGGAATACGGATTACAAGGTCCCATTGGTTTAATGGCTCACCCATTCATGCTATGCTAGCGTTTTTTCTGTGTGTATAATAAAAACAATTTTTTTAAAAATGTATACATCCTAATTCCCGGTACTTTTTTCTCAGAATGTATACCCTCTTTAACTCCATTTACTTATCATTTTTTTACTTGAATTTACCTGTTCTTTCAAAACTGTCGATTTTATTAGTAAGATTAGTCCTGTATTTCTTATTAACAATCTTTAGCGAATTCCTGCTAAGTTGTTGTTGATTTTATTGAAAAATAAGCCTTATACTTTATGTTAATTTGCGAAGAAATAAACATACAAATGTTGAAATTTAAATAAAACGTCGATTTTAGGCCAGAATTCGTAGTGCATTCCTGCAGCATCTATATGAATTTTATGATAATACGGTTAATTTGCTATTTATTTTATTCCACACGTACCGCAGGCCGAATGATGCCATCACGATAAATACGTAAACAGGGCAGGTAAAAAGCATACATATTTTTTAAACCACTTAAAAAAACCTTTAAATCGAAGAAATATTTTAGTTTAAAATATAAATTGGCTCTATGGTGAAATTACCAAGGATTGTTAATAAAGAGTGCCTCAACAAGTATTTTTCAAAAAATCAAAGTTCAAGTTGTATATTTCATTAAGTCGTTGATTTTTCCCATACTTTCAGGACTAATAAGTTAATATTAATATTTACACGTTTTTGACTACAACAGCTATCTATGTCACGATATTATTAATAATATTATTGTTATAGGATTATTATTATAAATTAATACTTTTTTCAATTTTGACAAACTTTTTTCTTTAGATATCCCTTTAAAAATTTAGCTATTCAATTTTTTTGCAACGCTGTTTTTTCTATTCGAATCTTCCAACCCATATTCTTTGGCTTATAGTTTCTGATTTCCTAAATTTTTATAAGGGATATAAACAAAGATCAAGTGTTCCCCATTTTGCCCTGAAAAAGAAATAAGTTTTAAAATACGGTACCCATAGGTAAAAATATACAATAAAAAAAAAACAAAAGCATGCAAATCTTTCTTAGGAAAAACTATAAAAATTGTTAAAAATTAAGTAAAAAACATAAAAACACTAACAAAAGAAAGTAAAACAAAAAATCATTTCAGAACAATAAAAAAATGCAGAAAAAAACTAAAAATGTAAATTATAAAAAAATTAAAAATTACAAAATATTTCACCAACAAATTAGGCCAAAAATGAAGAAAAAAATATAGAAAAATCATATAAAAACAATTGTGAAAAATTTCAAAAAATCGTAAAATTTGCAAGAAGCTAAAAATTATATTGGAATGTACAAAATTGTTAATAAAGAAGTAAAAACTATAAAAACATTGACAACTAATCGAAAAATCATGAAAAATTTATAGTCGAACAGCAAAAAGAACAAAATTTTTGAAAAATCATAAAAAATATAAAAAATCATTTAAGGAAAAACTATAAAAGAAATTGTAAATAAAACAATTTCGGAAAATTATAAAAAAAAATTACAAATTGTAAGATAATAGAAATTAGAAACAAAATTTAGGGAAAAAACGTACAAAATCATTAAAAAATGAGTAAAAATTATAAAAAGTAATGCAAACAAATAATGAAAAACTTAACAATTATAAACATTTTGGTTAGTCATAAAAACCTACAAAATCATTTAAAAAGAAAAAAAACTAAGTAAAAACATAAAATCATTAAAATTGTATAAATAATTGCAAAAAAACCATAGAAATATAATAAATCATTTAAATTTGAGAAAAAACTATAAAACATTTAAAAGAAATTGCAAACGAAACAAATAAAATATAAAATTTAACAAAATTGTACCTAAAATTACCTACACATAAAAAATAAAATAAAACAAAAATTTAGAAAAAAACTACAAAAATCCTTTAAAAAAATGTGACCAAAAAATCTGAAAATTTCAAAATTTGTACAATTTGCAATAAAACAAAAAAGTTGGAAAACCATAAAAACGTCCCAAATAATAAAAAATGGTACAACAAGACATTATCAAAATTGAACAAGAACTAAAAATCTTGAAAAATGTAAATCAAATGAGTTTTAAATATAAAAAAGATATTTTATTTGAAAATATAAAAAAAATTAAATAAAGAAATTACTCTAAAATCCTGAATAAAAAAAAAATTAACAAATGTTATATTTTAGAAACGTAAAAACAAAAAGAAAGAAAAATAATTCAATTGATCATAAAATCATAAATTTACCAAAAACTCGAATTGGCTAAATAAAAAATAAAACTTAGGGGTGTGCGAAGTGATATTCGACTCAAATATTCGAGTAATCGAACTATTCGAATAGTTCAAATTATTCAAATTGTTCAAAAAACTTGAATGGTACGACATTAAAAAAATTTAATTTTCCAATATTAGGCGGTCGAACTAATAAAATAATTAAAAACATTTTAGTCAAATATTTAATTATAATAATTATTATTGAAGAATTTGAATTTTCTAATATTTGAATAGTTTGAATTGTTCGAATAATTGGAATGATTAAATATTTTAATATAAGTATTCTAATGGTTCGGATATTAGAAACTTTTCACTGATAACACCGGCACACAGTTTAAACCTGGAGTGAGAATAATCAAAATTAACGTATTTTTGTGTGCTGAATCAGAATCCGCCAGCGGTTTTTCTATATCTCATCAAGTTTTTTAATGGATCACCGATTTTCTTTTTGAAAAATCATTATTTTCACTCAAAAATCAACAGATTGTTATTCTTGGCGAATCTTTGCATTCTCCGAATAATTGTTTGTGAGTGCTATTTATTTCTGGGCATTTTGATACTCTATTTCCAAATTTTTCCTTAACTCTCGGAACTAGGTTTAAGCAGCCTTAAATAGCTAGAACAGAAATTGTCTGTTCTTGTTATTCCAAAGACTTTTTTACTTTGGCAAGGATATTAAATATCTTTTTCATGCAAATAGATGCCAAAATTCGGCATTCGAGTTGGGAGATTCCTCAAATTGCAGTCAACTTAGCTCGAAAGGTCTATACGCGTTCAACTGCCAGGGTACTTTAGGTAATATGCATGGTCATTCAGCGTTGGGCTTAAAAATTCCTGTTGCAAACTTACGGATTGAATTCTGCTACCTCTTGACATGAAGGGCTGATGACACTGCCTTTTAAAGGATGTGTGGAATGATTCATCCCTAGTGCCATGGGGTATCGAAACCAGTGTAGGCGCACTGCCTTGCAGAGGGACATTAGAGAGTGAGGATGAAGCCGTAGTGTGTCTGACGATGTGTTGACATGGTCCTCATCAAAGTCAGAAAGCTCCCATGCTTAGCCCTGGAGAGGCATGGGAGTTATCACCTCCAGGACGGTGGACTCGCCTACGATCGGGCTAGGATCTCTAATGTGTGGGTTTATTTACATTATTATGGCTAATTCAAATTTAAACAACCATTTTCCTGAAAATTGTATTCAAAATATTGATAGGTTTTGCTATATTTGTGGAAAATTTGAAGTACCGAAAAACCGGAAAAAGATCACCAAGGCAGTTATCGATTTGTATGAAAGTTGTTTCGGTATTGCTGTTAAAGATCAACACATGAAGTGGGTGCCAAAAATAACTTGTGTTGCGTGCTATTCTTCCCTTCATCGATACAAAAATAATAGCGATAGGCAGGAAATCAAGTTTTCAGTCCCGGCAAAGTGGAGGAAGCCTGAACTGAAAGAAGATTGCTATTTTTGTATGACGAATACAAACAAATTCAATGTTGTGACAAAGACCAAAATAGTTTATCCAGAAGTGTCATCCTATCAGAAACCAATTCATAAAAATTCAGCAATTGGAGCTATCAGCTGTTTTCCCACTGAAAAAATGGAAGTTGATGAAATTTCCCGACCCTGTTGTTCTAAATATGAACAAAATTCAGAACAAGAAGATCATTCTGAGAGAGAGGAAGACTCAGGAAGTGAGATAAGCGAAGAACGGTACCACGAGAACAGAGATAATCCCTCTGAAAAATGGTCACAGGGGGAGCTAAATGATCTGATAAGGGATTTGGGGCTGTCGAAAGATGGTGCAGAAGTATTGGCAAGTGCCATGAAGCGAAAACATAATTTGGAAAAAGGAGTCAAGATAACTTCATACCGAAATCGAGAGGAAACTTTCAGACAGTATTTTACCAAAGATGAAGAACACGACTTTGTATATTGTACCGATATCAAAAGTCTGATTGATGAGTTTAAACCAAATATTTACAATGCAGAGAGCTGGAGATTATTTATTGACTCCTCAAAACAGAGTTTAAAGGTTGTTTTGCTCCATAATTCAAATCAGTACGCCTCTATCCCAGTTGGCTACTCTACAGTTATGAAGGAGAATTACACGAATTTGAGGATCATTTTGGAGAAAATCAAATATACTGATCAAAATTGGCAGATTTGCGGGGATTTAAAAATTCTCGGGATAATCCTCGGACAGCAGTCTGGTTTCACAAAATATCCTTGTTTCCTCTGTTACTGGGATAGTAGGGATCGGGACAACCATTATAAAAAAAAACTTTGGCCAGCAAGAGAATCCCTAGAAGTTGGGTCTGCTAATGTTATTTTGAAACCATTGGTAGATCGTTCCAAAATACTATTCCCACCCCTCCACATAAAATTGGGCCTAATGAAGCAATTCGTGCGGGCATTAGACAAAGAAGGCTCTTGTTTTCAATTTATAAGGTCCAAATTTCCTCAAATATCTGAAGCGAAAATTAATGCTGGGGTATTTGATGGACCACAAATAAGAAAACTGCTGCGGGATGAGGAGTTTGAGGGGAGCATGACGGATGTGGAAAAGTCTGCTTGGCAGAGTTTTAAGGAGACGATTGACAATTTCCTTGGAAATAACAAGTCCCCGGATTACCAGGATATTGTCCAGAGGATGGTAAATAACTTCCAGAGGTTGGGTTGCCTCATGAATATAAAGCTCCATTTTTTAGACTCGCACCTTGAAATGTTCCCAGAGAACCTTGGTGATGTCAGTGAGGAACAAGGGGAGCGATTTCATCAGGACATAAAGACGATGGAAAAAAGGTATCAAGGCAAGTGGGATGTTAATATGATGGCGGACTATTGCTGGATGCTAAAGCGGGACGTTGAGCAGCGAGGGAAAAAGCGGTCAGGACTCCATCGATCTTTTGAGAATAAAAGAAAACGATATAGTAGGCGATGACAACCCGAAATCAGTGGGATGGACTCATTGAAATAGAGGAAAAAGATTCCGGAATCACATGAGAATGTGTGCCTATTTCTGATTTTGGGATTTATTTTAAATATTTGAACCTCCTCCAGCTCAGATGAAATATTAGTTGAACATAGCGTTCTGAATCTTGCGAAGAGAAGAAATACCACTCACAAACAAATACTCAAAGAATGCACAGATTCACCAAGAATAAAAGTCTATTGATTTTTGAGTGAAAATAATGTTTTTACAAAAAAAATGGCTATCTATTGAAAATTTTGATGAGATATAAAAAAACTGATGGCGGATTCTGTTTCAGCACACAAAAATACGTAAATTTTGGTTATTCTCACTTCAGGTTCAAACAAAATTTTTTTTTTGTGTGCCGGTGTAATCATTATAATCAATTATTTAACGAAATTTTATTATTTTATTAGTTTGGCATCTTACACTAGTTTACAAAATCGAAAAAAAAAAATTTTATGGAAGCGATTTTGAAATATGAATTTTCAATTGTTTTCAATTGTTTTGACGTTTTTGAGTATAGCTTGAAATCTAATTGATCGATTTGGTCAAACAAGCACTTAAATTGAAGTTATTTGAAACCTAAAACTTTATTTTTATACTTTTGATATTGGAGTAAGTATTTTGACGCTAGCAATTTTAATAACTTAAAAAATCGTTTTTATGGCAAAAATTGAGGTCGAAAATTTACATATCGTCCTGGGAAAGGTTTAAATCAAACAGATAACCCCAGTTTGGATTTTTTTTCGGGAAGCTGACATTTTTACAAAAAAACAAGCTAATGTTGATAAAAATACATTAAAAAATGGCGAAGTTATGAATTTTTTAGTGGAAGACCAAAATTCAGCTTTTTGATTTTTATTTTATTTTTTTTTCTTTTATTTCGTAATATGTAAAATAAGTAGAGTAAGAAGTAGAGTTCGAGTGCCTAAATGACCCGGACAATCTGGGTGACGTTAGTGATGAGCACGGAGAACGTTTTCACGAGCAAATGAAGGCTATGGAGCGGCGGTATCAGGGCTTCTGGGATGCAGCCAAGATGGGTGATTATTAGTACATTTGGTCCCTTATACGAGAAACGGAATACTAAAGCAACAAAAAACAAAAAAGGAACCAGATTTTTTTTAAACCTATGCTTATTACAATAAAATAAAACTTTCAATATGTATTTATTGTTCAATGTTCAATATATAATTTAATTTCAATATTTAATTTTTAAAATAAAAAACAATGTTCAATATAAAACTTTATATAACTCAATAAAATTAGAGTTACCGCGAGACGAGACGAGACGAGATAAGGTCTTGTCTCGTCTCGTCTCGAAATTTCGAGATAACATTTTTCGAGACGAGACGAGACAAGTTCGAGACGAGACGAGACAAGGCCTTATCTCGTCTCGTCTCGTTTTGTCTCGTTTGTCTCGAATTGTTTTGGTTTTTTGGTTTATCTCAATTTAATTTTGAATTATCGGATAAATTCAATAAAAAATGTCTTACTCAAAAAACAAAAAAGATATAAGCTCTTAAAAGTGGGATAAACTAAAATGATAACGCAGTTATTCGCCTCACTCTTAATAGATCCACGTCACAAATTGGAAACCTTTTTAATGACTTTCTGTGGTGCAGAAATGAAAAATAAATCATACCAAAAATTTGAAACAATTTATTGTAAAAATACGCACCGACTAGGCCAATTCCACCTATATAAGAAACTGAAGAAAAATCTGGTTCAGATGAAGATATGGATATTGAATTTTTATTCAAAAAGGCTACTCCTCAATCCGAAACTGAAGCGTTTTGAAAACAAGAACTAAACGCATACTTATTCAGAGAGAGCATCAAAAGGGGAAATATTGTTGGAATGGTGGAAAAGAAGAAGAGACCTATTAAGTATTACCGCAACAAGCGTTCCTTCAGAACGCCTTTTTTCAAAAGCTGGATTAGTAGTCACTGAACTTCGGAATCGACCTAATGCTGAGTCGGCTCGTTCATTATTATGTCTTAATTCATGGTACACTTGTAGGTACGTTAAAAGATAAGCTAAACTTTGATTAGTGAAACTTACCTATTCCTATACTTACCCCATGCTGTAATACCAAAATATTTTTTAATGATTTAGGATGTGTGTGAAAGCTCTTAAAACGTAAAAGTTTAAAGATTAAAACCAACAATAATTTTTAAAAAGTGCAAACTAATAAAGTGAAACAAACAATTTTCATAGAGTGCAAACTAAAATGGTGTAACGGTCATTGAGGAGTGAAGTGTTAAGTGATATGAATGAGTTAAGTGCCACCTGTCATTGGACGCTTTTCACTGGACAAACAAAGGAGGTCAAACAAGAGGGGCGGTGGCCATCCGCAAAAAAAATTGATAAGTTACCTTAAGAATATGCATGACCTAATACAAAATCTGCAATTTAAATACGGCATATATCTTTAGGGCAATAAATCTGTCAACAACAAATGCGTAATGCAATCCCAAACGAAACCGAAAATAAACACTAGACTCACAGAATAAACTAACACATTAATCACTATAACTCTAACAGTAAAAAAAGCCTAATAACCAAACTCTACTAGATTTGTAAACATTAGATAACAGAATAATTGCGCTTGTCATTTGTTTAACTAATAAATAAATGCAAAACTTAATTTTGGAATTTAAGAAAAAAAGACAAAACTCTACCACAAAACGTGCTTGGGACAAAATTTATTAAAAACAACTGACACACTTTACCAAGTGCAGGAACTATTGACCAGGATACGGACAATGACAATAACGAACAAGACAAAGACCTCGACTAGGAAACTACACCCCTGCAGCGAAATAACAACTCCCCAACTCCAAATAGTAATTCCAAATGTTTGGAGTAATACTAATCGACTGGTCTAGGGGGATTCCGCGTCGTACTTAGTTTTAAGTCGGCGTAATTGTCCCCCAAAAACCAACACCCTCCCGTCCCTCCTCCTATACCTTATTGGGCGTATAGCATCGGCTCGGCGAACCCGAGAATGGCTATTAAAACTATTTGCATCTCGCTCTCGAGCCCCAAATAGGGGACAGTACGGAACGCAATGGACATTCGCACCCAGCAAACACGGGTGAAGCCGTGAAGTTGCTGGGGGCGAACAAAAATCGGCGTAAGTAAACATAGGCCTGTACGGGGTCCGAGAGTGATGATGAAATGGGGCTGGTTATACGTCTCTTATACTCATATACTCATACTCATACTTACCTATTTCCCTGTAATCTGATATTCGTACTAACAATGTTAATGATATATTGAATATTTATTTTCAGTTTAGAGTTTATTGATTTATTTTGTTTATTATAAAATACATTTATTTGGTTTATTTTTTACTGTTTATTCTCTATAAGGTATGTATGTATGTCCTCGAAAACACCATGCAGTTTTTGAATAAACGTTTTATATTTTATTACAAGTTTTATTTTAACAATTTATATGCACGAATTACAAGCTCATACCCTATAATGCTGTTTTTTGCTAATTCTGAAGTTAAAAACAATTATTAAAACTTAAATGCTGTTATTATCATTCGTTTAAAGCGTAATAAGTCATTAAAATATTCCGAATATGTCTCGAATATGTCTCGTCTCGTCTCGTCTCGCCTTGTCTCGAAGGATGTTATCTCGTCTCGTCTTGTCTCGAAATTCGAGACAAAATGCTCTCGAGACGAGACAAAATGGCTTCGAGACGAGACGAGACGAGACGTCTCGTGTCTCGTGTCTCGCGGCACCTCTAAATAAAATGTAAAAAACGTTTACATTCTCGAAAAAACTGAATTTTGGTCTTTCACTGAAAAATTCATAACTATGCCATTTATCCATGGATTTTTATTAACAGCAGCTTATTTCTTTCCTTTAAGTATAATCTATACGTAAAATAAATCAAACTGGACTTATCCTTTCTATCTTTCCCAGAAAGGTATGTAAATTTTACACTCGATTTTTGTAAAAAAAAGGACTTTTTCAACTTCGTAAAATCGCCAGTATCGAACTACCGAGCCCATACCAAAACTATACAAGAGAAAGTTGTAGATGGCTCAATTACCTTTCATTTAAGTGCTTATTTGGTCAAATCGATCAATTAGAACTCGAATTATACTCTAAAACGTCAAAACACTAGAGGAAATTAAAAAAAAACAATTGAAAATTTATATCTCGAAAACGCTTCCATGAAAAAAAATTTAAGTGTGATTTTCGCATTTGGTGAGCCAAACTCACACAAGAAAATAATAGTGAGACATGGTGGGCAAAATGGCTGTAAATAATTATTTGACGACAAATTTTTTATTTATTTTTTTACTTCGACCGGTTATAATTGGAAAATAAAATTTTGTAATACCTGAGAATATTCAGATTTACTTTATTATTATGATTTTTTTAAAAGCGTAAAAAATCTTGTCATCTTACCTTGGTGGTTCGACACTTGCCGTTGTGCATGGTGTCGATGACGTAGCCGCGCTGACACGCGTCCTGCATCATGTGGCACCACGTGTGATAGGTGGAGTTGTTGGTGCCGCAGATCGGGCCGTGCATGTGCCGGGGGCGGCACTCTACGCCGCACGACACGCACCGCGGCCGGCCCGTGCTCAGGTCCGCCAAACAAGACTGGCTCTGTCGGCAGTGGACAGAGCTGCAGCTGGCTTCGGCTGCAAAAACGAAAAAAACATACTCAAAAATGGTCAACAATAGGGAATGCAATCTTGCAGCAAAATGTAAGATTTAAGAGGTATCTCGCAAGATCTCGGTATATTGCGAGAACTCGCAGATTTAAGATTAATAAAAAAATAAATAAGGTAGTATAATTATTTGTATTACAACTTTGTTAGGTTATATCGTAAGGGAAAAATAATGAAATAAAACATAAATTAGCAGCGATAAAACTACTATTTGGGTGAAAAAACCACTCGTTTATACGAGTTTTATAACAACCAATTGGTTACTATGCGAAAAATAATTGTCAATGTTAACGTTTCTAATAATTAGGTACTCTATGTAACAAAATTTGATTTTTGTTTTGTTTATTGGATTTTTTTGTTAAATTATCAATATTTGTGTGCCAAAAAACTATTTTAACTTAATTTAAAAAATGTAGTGATAAGTTTCTATTTTTTAAGGGGTATTTATATAATATAATCAAACCCAGTTTTATCAAAAACAAAAAAAATATTGACAAGAAATGGCAAGAAATTCAAGTCAGAATTATTATTTTAACAAAACATACAATCTAGAAAAATATTTTCTTAACATAGATTTTAAATCTTGGCTCAAAAATGAATTTTAATACGACTTTTTCTTTTATATGATGCATTTTCTTCCCGAAGTAGATTCCAAACATGACTACCCATCATTGTCGCATCCCACCTTCCTTGTTATCACTTTTCCATTACCCAAATATCTTGATGGAATCTTTCTTCATGTTCTTCGCTGACACCTCCCAGATTTTCACGGAAAAAGTCAAGATGCGAATGCAAATAGTGTAGGTACTTTCAACGACATGCGGCATCCCATTTCTTTAAAACTTCCTAATAAAACTTTGACAAGGTCAGTTTAATTTTCTGTTGTTTGATTCCCAAGGAAACCTTTCATTTAAAATCTCACGTTAACATTTGAGTTTAAAAAATATGTATTATAATCCAATTTTTGTTAAAAAAAAATATTCATTTTTTTTACATGTTGTCCACAAAGAAAGTTTAATGGCCAAAATCTTACGTGAGGGATAGTGGGGGGGGGTCTACCACATCTCACCAAATCTCACCAAGGGGGAGGGAGGGGTCTAAATTATCACTAGTAATACCACTAGAGGTCAAATTATTTCCGGAAATTTTTTCGAGCTCATGAATATTTTGAAAATTATCCCGAGTCGAAGACGAGGGATAATTTTCTAAAAATATTCATGAGGGAGAAAAAATTTCCGGATTTAATTTGACCTCGTGTGGTATTCGGTAAGAAAATTCCACACCAAATTGTGTTTAAATAATTAAAATTTATTTTTTGATTTAACTTGACCTTGACTTGATTATTTAGTTACCATGGCAACTAAGTCAACCCCAACCTAAAAGTTATTTCAGTTTTGAAGCTGTCAAGCGGCACGACGTAAAAAAATGTGAAATTGTCTGCTGTAATGATCAATCATCGTGCAATGACTTATTTACCCGCATTATTAGAGGATTGTGGCTCCTACTTGAAGAAAGAAAATTTGCTTTGAATTGTTCACGAATATTTGCATCTTAACTATTCAAAACTCAAAGTGCTAAATGGAAAAAAAGGTGAATAGAATAGTGTCTAAATATTATATATATTTCATTAGACATAGACATTTAATTTATTTCAAGTCCTGCATTTTCGCCATTAAGAAGAAAGGAGGTGTCCAACGAATATAGAAAACATCTAAACTTTGTAATGGAAATGTATCAAAATTATCATGTAAACAAATAAAAACCAGATTGTCAAAAAAATATTCTGTCATTATAAACGTCAAAAAATTTCCAGTATAATTCGCTGTTGGGTACCCACGAGGAAAAAATTTCCACTAAAATTCAACCGTTGCCATGGTGATCTATCAAAAATACACGTTTTGATTGGTTAAAAATTACAGGTGTGGAATTTTCAGAAAAATGCCTCACGTTATTAATGGATGTCCCCTAATGACACTCAAAGCCATCAACACGATCTGACGGCTGTCGTTGAAAATTTGACAGTTTGAAAAAACAAATGTATGTTACGTAATCGGGGGCATGGCCTACTATGATTTGTGTAATAAAATCCAGATAAACAAATATCATGTTACATTGTGTTATCTAATAATAATTATTTTAAAATAAAAATGTATGTAATGTAATGTCAAAAAAATTATACAGAAACTGAATCGGCAGTTAATTCCATTCTACTCGTGATAAAATTTTTGATTTTTATTTACTCAAGATTTTTCCTTGAAAATTTCGCTCGTGGCAATAATTTCTTAAAAGTTAATGTCAAATTTACAAGAAAAAAACATTCGTATAAAAATCAAAAATTTTATCGGTAAAATTTTACCACTAGTGGTATTATACGTATTTTACCACTAGTGGTATTATACGACTATTTCCCTCGTCTTAATTTCCACCAATCACAAACGCGCAATTTTGAATTACAAATGGTTTCTAGGTGGAAAAACTGTATGACAGCACCTGTCAGCAGTTTTTTCGAGTTTACCCGCGGCAAAACTTGACAGCTGTTGTCACCAAAAATTGCAATTCATATTTTAATTGTACCATAAATAATTAAGTTTTTAGTATTTTGTGATTAAATAAATTACCTATTTTTCAGTTTTCAAATTAATACCTACATATTTATTATGTATGCATGTATATTAGGTAGTATGTTTTGTAAGCTATGAGTATGCAGAATAACTGTTACTCATGAAATAGTCTTGTCAAATACCATTCGGGCATCTAATTTTTCCTGTGAAAAAAGTCGAAAAAACACAATGCCAAGTAATATTTTTTAACAAAATGCATTCGTGCAGGTGCAAAAATCCTCGTCTTCGACTCGGATTTTTGTTGCCACCAGCACTCCTACTTCTTGTTAAAATATTACTTAGCAACAGGGGCGTGCTGGGCCGCCGGGACACCGGGAGAAATCCCGGTGGGCCGGTGGTCCGGAGGGCTAAGTGGGCCGATGTGCCGGGGGGTTATGTAGGCAGCATGCCGCAGCACGTGGTCAATTAAAAACTTTTTTAGTTGAGTTATGTATAAATATCATAATTTTTTTTACACATATCATGCATGCCAGCCTGCCAGCTTTGTTTCTTTTTTCGAGATTGTATATTGTTTATAAGTTTCCTCAGCGATGATAATTTGTATTAGTTTTTATTTTAAGTGCAATGCTATATGTTTTAGCATTGTGTAAAATATTGTCTGGTTGTGTTTGTTGTCTGTTTTTTTTCAAGAATTTAATTTATACTTTATGTTATTAATTATTAATATATTAATAAATGTTTGAAATTTTTTAACTTGGTTTTGTTCACCCCCTATTTTTCGTGTGTAGTTGGCCGATTTTTCTGAATTTCCCGGGCCGGTCTGATATAGCCAGCACGCCCCTGCTTAGCAACGTGTTTTATCGATTTTTTTCAGAAAAATTAGATGCCCTTATGATATTATAAAAATAATTGTCAATGTCGACATTTCTAATTTTAAAATAAAAATGTCAAAAAATATGCTTTTTGGTCAAATAAATCATCCAGAAATTGAATCAGCAGTTAATTCTAATTTAAAAAAAAAATATTCGTGAAATAGTCTTGCCGAATACCACTCAAGATAAAATTTTCCTGAAAAAAATTTTGATTTTTATTTACTCAGATATACGAATTATCATCAAGCTATTAAAGCAAAAAACATAAACATGACTAAAATTATTTATTCAAAAACTAAACATTATTTTAAAAATGACTTAAAAAACTGCTTAAAAACACAAAACACACATGGAATGCGCTGCGGCCTAATCTCGCAAATCTTGCGAGATCGCGTATGATTTTCGTGCAAGACTAATCTTGCAGAATTAGTGCGAGATCTTGGTATTTCGAGACCTTGGTATACCAAGATTGCATTCCCTAGTTAACAATATACAGTTTAGATCAGGGTTGCAACTCTACCAACTTTTAGTGTCTTGCTCAAATCTATAGATTTGAGCAGTATACTACTTTGCAAGAAAAATCTAAGTTTTTTAAATTAAATTTCCGTAAAAGTGGTAATAATGCGTTGTGTTTTTTAAATTTCCATCTTTATACATTAACCGAGTTTCATTTCATGCGCAAGCAGGGCCGGCGGAAGACCATGGTAGTATAGGTACTACTACCCACTCGAAAAATTCTTTAGTAGGTATATACCCACTCGGAAAATAAATGTTACATGAACATTGTTCCGGAATTTATGCGATTTCTTCAATTAATAATTACAATTCCAGAATCTTCGTGTTCCAAGGAAAGAAGTTTTTCAGTTTTATTTAAGATCAACAATGGCACAAAATCGACTAAATCACGTAGCAATCTTGCATTCTTACTCTGATTTAGCGGATAAACTCAATTTAGATACTCTAATAAATGAGTTTATTGTTCGCATTAAAAAAAGAACAGCCGTTTTTGCTAATTTAGATAACAAATAAAAATTGTTAATCTACAAAAATGCATTGTTATTTATGACTTTCTATTGTTACCTTTTAAAGCTTCTTATTTTTCAATATATTTTTATAATATTGATTTTTTCAAAATGTTAATTGCTCGAAATTAAAGCTAAGCCTAACTACCCACTCGGGCTAAATGTGTTCTGCCGGCCCTGTGCGCAAGTACACTTACCACAGCTGTTATAATTTTCTTTTTAGATTTGTCTCCTTTGAACTTAACTGAATTAGATCTAGAATGGAGACTGTGCAGAAACACAACTCTCTTTACAACTAAGAAAAATATTAGAGTTAAAGATTGGCATCATATTTCTCGAATAAAAAAAGGCGATGATTTATAAATTTTTCCTTTACTGAGCCATGGCTGCAGTTTGTGAAGAATGCTGGTGCTTCGACACAGTAGTGCCAATGTCGAGAGACTGTTTTCCACAGTTAATTTATTAAAAATTTGTACCCGAAACAAACTGTCCACTAAATTAGTGGCACTAATACT